ACTCTGAAAATTCTAGGTCTGATATCTAAGAGACAAACTTAGAAAAGGGAAGTTCTGCTCTCAAAAATATTTTTGTAATGCTCTTGGGTTAGCCGGCCCGCCGACTTTAATTTTTTCTTAACCGGATTTTCATGTGAGCCACCATGCCAGACGCCGGACCAAATAGGCGCTCCTGCCCTAAACCGTCTTCGACATCCTCTCCCTCACCCCGGTCCCCACTGGTTTCGCTCAAAGCCTTCGTCTTCCATTAGAGCTACCTGAGAAGGAAAAGACGGACCAGCGGCATGTGAGGAAGAAGAGAAGCTCCTGAGACTTGCGGATTTAAGTTATAATGGTGTTTTGCACTGTTTGGAAGGATTTAGCCTAGATCCTGCCTAAACTCTGCTGTGAAACGGCCCCTAGTTTTTTATTTTTTTTTTGATAGAAGGTAATGGCGGGACAATCCGATCCTCATCTTTCAATCTTTTCTGCCCCAGAGGTTTGTAATATCCAATCTCTGTTTTCAGTTTGATCATGCATTTAATGGTTTTGGATTTTACTTTGTTGGTTTCCGTGGGTTTGAAGGCAGCGAAACAAATCTTAATAGGGTGGTCTGATATTTATATTTCCAGGTTGAGTTTTTGGCTGAGGACGAACTTGTTGAGATAATCCCGAATATAAGGATGGATGCTCTGAACATGATCTGTGTAAATTGGCATTTGTTATGCCGAACAATTTTATCTTCTATTGATTTTCGGAATGCTTTCCTTCATTTTTGACTCGTATGAATCTGACAGTGATCACTGGTTTCATAATAGGGTGATTTCGGTCCTTTCTTTCCACAAATTTCTGCCAAGGTTCCAATATGGCTTGCAGTTGCTCTTAAGAAGCGTGGAAAATGCTCTGTTAGGCCGCCGGAATGGATGTCTGTTGGTGTGAACTTCTCCCTTGATCATATTGTTTAGCTATAATGAATTGAAGTATCCAGATCTCTTACCGTAGGATTGTTATTTTCTAGAAAAATTTCTGTTAATGTTTCCATTTTCTTATTGCTGAACAGTTCATGAAAATTCAACATGTGCATGAACACCTAAATTTTAATATTTACATTAATAGGCGCTCAAATCTTCAATATCACATAAAAATACCACTTTTATTAACTTTTTAAAAATCAAATACATCTTTTTATTCATAGGTTTATAACACCAAGGTGCAATGAATGTAAATATCAAACTTTAGGTGCTAGATATGTA